CTCTCTCTCTCCACCGCCTGCTTCCTTTCATCTTCATCAGATAGATCTCAAAAACCCAAAATCAAACGGGAATATGTGGCAAAACAAGTTCGTTCATCCCTAAACTATACAGTGAACACAAGAACCCACCCCCAATTTCAACCAAATTCGTTACCTATCGTGATTTGCAGGTTTGAGATTCAACAAAAATCGAGACCCATCGGTGGGTCTCTTTGGTTAACTGATTGCGATTACAGGATGCAGAAGAAGGAAATCGGGACCCTTTGTTGGGTCTCTTGGTCTCAGTTGAAATCAACAAGTCTCGACAATATGATTCAAGATGGCAGAGGTGGTGATGGCTTACCGGCAACAGCAGAACGACGGTGGCGGTATGTAGCTGGGGGCTGCTCCAGTAGCCTTCTGCTGCTCTATTTCTATTTCTGTTCCAGCGAGTTCCACAAGAAGGGATAGGGAGAAGCAACGACGGGTGGCTGGAGGTTGTGTGGGTGGTTTATTGAAAGAAGAACAACAATGGAATGGTGGCGGTTTTGTGGCAGTGGGTGGCAGCCCTACTGTTGGCTTTTCTTGCTTCTAGTGGTTCACAACACGAAAGGAAAAGGGAAAGCAGTAACAGGTTTTCAAGGGTGTTTGTCAAGTTGCTTGATAGAAAAGGAATCGAAGGAGGAGAGTGTGGTGGTTTATGGCGGTGGGGCTTGGTCGACCAAAACGGTGGTGGCAACAAGTGGTGTGTGGGCAGTGGGAAGTGGTAGAGTGTGACCGGAGAGGAGGCCAGAAATTGGTATCTCCGGTGGTTGTTTCTTCCACCGGTGAATCGGAGAGAGAGAGAGAGAGAGAGAGAGAGAGAGAGAGGTGGGACCCCTTGCATATAAAATTTTATTTATTTATTTATTTATTTTAAAAAAAGTAATACAAAACCTCATAAATGGTCCCTGGGTAGTGAAATGACAAAAATACCCCTTACTTAACGGCTAAATGGTAACGGAGTGAGCCAGAAGGACCAAATGTTAAAAGTTTTGAAACCACAGGGACCATCTGTGAGGTTTTTTGAACTTAGGGATTAAACTTGATATTTTCGAAAACCACAGGGACCATTTTTGAAGTTTTGTCTGGACAAATTAATCCGTAAGTTTCATAAAAAGCAATCTTTTTCTTTGTTTAAACCTAAATTTACTTTATTTTTCATAAACAGTAGACAAATTAGTCCATATGTTATATAAAAAGCAATGTTTTTAAAAATCGGTTCGAACCAATTAGACCAGGAACTGGAGAATGAACGGTTCAACTAGCACACACTTTATGTTTATTTCTAGATCGGAACGAGCTAGCAAATTTTTATAAAAATCTAATTGAACCGGTTATATTGAATTGTTAAAATTCAGTTGAACTAGTTAACGTGAATAAAAACACATGGAAATGAGACATTTTGCATAACAAGTTTTGGTGGTGTTTTTCACATCTATTGAAACTTTTATGTAAATCTTTTGTTTGATAACCAATTATAGATCCATTTTTTGCAATTCCAAAATTGAATATGAGATAATAATGTAATTGACTTGATTTCTGATGTTCATATTAGCCAACTTTATAGACCTTCAAAATGACAAAGAACTTTTATAGCTTATGTAAAGGATCTTTGATAAGTTTTTCTCTATAGCAACATGAAAATTTCCAGTTATAGTCATTCCTTGTCTATTTCATGACATTCTTGTCCTAACTTAGCCATCGACTATTTGTTAAAAAATCTCAACTTCAACAAATTGACAATTATGATACTTTTTTTATGTTTTCATAAGATCGACTCTAATAACCTTCTAATTAGTTGATATCAATATATTCATCATTTTTATTTAATCAACTATATTTAAATACATCTAATTAACTTATTTTTATTTTTACTAAAACATAAAAACTTTTAGGACCATTTTGAGGATGTTACATATTTCAAGGGAGTGAAAGTTTTAAATCCCTTAAGCATTGTCATCTAATTAAGCCTTAAAACCAATTTAATCGCTATGATTAAATTAAGGGATTACCTATTTGATGTAATATGGATTAAAATTCAATTGATTTGCAGTTTTTCAATTGGGGCAGATCAGTGTTAGAAAGTCTGAGTATTTACTTTTCCTCTATATGCAAAGCCCCAATTGTGGTTTAAAATGATTTTGAGAGAATAAGGCATAGCCTTTTTTTAAATGGTGAGTTGGTGGACAGAAAGTTACAATGAGTGAATTAGCGGAAGATCGTAACACCTTAACGAGTACGTGGGTTGAGGAATTGTAGTCTTTTTATACTAACAAGATTTTAATAGATTACTGGCAAGAGTGGTTTATATTTATGAATTGAATTTTTTATCCATATAGTTGTTAAAAGCATTAATGGTGATTATGGTTCTTTTCGAAATGCTATTACTTACATATTGAAGACGTATTGGGAAAAATCAGTTCAATCTACTAATAATATGGTTGATCACAATCTTGATATGGATACTTATACTGTGTGAAAGTTGGTTATGGTGATAGTATATGTTTTGGAATGATGTTTGATATGGTATTGTCCCTTTGTCAAATCGGTTTATAAGGTTATATGATTTGGAATCTCAAACAATTTGTATGGTTGATTCATGCTTTAAGAATGGTACATGGGAGTGGAGTTGAATAGTATTCTAAAGCATGGATGATTGGGTTGGAGTTGGAGGACATGATTTGTTTGCTTTAATATGTCACATAAGATAATACAATCAATTCTTAGAGTTAGGGAGTTGTCCTCTACACATTTGTTTCTGATTTCATCTATTAGGTCTCATCTTGACAATGCTTTGGTTTTGGAGAATGGTGAGACGATATGGAATAAATATGCTCCTATAAATGTAAACATCTTTGTTTAAAGAGTTGGTTTGGACATGTTGAGTACATCAATGCTAATAGGGTTTATTAGCTTGAAAATTTATTAATTCTTAAACGATGTATATTTTTTAATGCCTCCTTGTTAATTTGTTAATAGATTTTTGATTGATGTTCCAAAAATAATATTAGTTTTTAAATTATGTTTAATTCTACATTCAATATCCAACTAGATAATAGGAAAAATACACAAAACGCATTGCTTTATCATTTTTTTTTCAAATAATACATCAAGCTATCAATTTTTTCAATTTCGCTATTACACCAAATTATTAGGTAACTTTATGGTTACTATGTACTAAGTCGGCACTCTCTTATAGTGTGGCGTTGAAGTTGCATGATGAAGTGGCATTTTCTGATGACATAAAAGTTAGGGTGGCAATATTGAAAAATGACTCAAATGGAATTGTTTTTGTGCTATTTAGTCGAGAATGTAGAGCATTTTTCACTACTTAGCCTCATTTGAAAAATAATGAAAATAACATTATATTTTGGGCTTTCTTTCAATTTTGTCGCGATAAATATCATTCACCATAAAATGTCATATCATCATGACATGTCAGCTCTACACTTCAGAGGGTGTTAACTCAACATGCATTATTCGAAAAGTTACTTGTAACCTGTTGAAATGACGCAATTTAAAAATAAAAATGATGAAGTGATCTAATGTTTGAAAAAATAAGTAGTGATAAGTTAAAAAGATGATAAAGTACTTTTCGGTGGCTTTTGTGTACTTTTGGTAATTTTTGAGGGATTATCAAAGAAGGAAGGATATTTTGGTAAAACTTAAAAGTGAAGATTACAATGATATCCTAATAGACATCCCAACTATTTGCCGCGTGAGCAACGGCCCCATGGACCGAAGTGCAGGATGTCTTTTTTGGTGCCGGAAAATTGGGTGTGTTTTCTTTATAATAAACAATAAACATATTAAATGAAAGAATAATATAACTAAACACAATTTAATATTTATATTTACCTGATTATAAACTATATTAAATAAATAAATAATATACTATTTAATAAACACAGTTTAATATATATATTTACCTGATTATAAACTTATGATATAATTTTTTATCATTTTTACAACAATAATTGACTAAAGTATTGTTTTTGTTGCATTTTTTTTTTCTAAAGATGGGTAATATTCATAAGTCAATGAGAACTTAATTCAACCCTCAATCATTGGTTTAGTGGATCCAGTGAATTATATACTGGCCTATGCGTAATGAGTTATGAACCCTTCACCTTTTTTTATTTTTGTAATTTGATTCAAGATCAAGATAAATCATTTCTAATGAAACTTATAATATTCCAAATTAAGCAATTGTCTGTAATTTAATTAAAAATCCACAGTGATATTAAGTCGACAATTCTTGTTTTCAACACTTCAATCCTCAATTCAAACATGTTTTTCGTTTTCTGATTATAAAATAGAATTTTCAATTTTTTTTTTCAAAATCCCTAGCTCAAAAATGTTTTTTCGTTATTTATATCTTATTATATTGTCTATCACCTTTTGTCATAATCCAAACCACAATTAATCTAGAATAAAAACTCCACATTTCGTCATACATAACTTTGTTCATTAGGATCAAACATTTAATGTATAAGAATAGACATTTAATAACATAAAAAGTATACTAATTGTAGTATATTTTTAAAGTCAACTCACACACGATATAAATAATACATAGTTGATAGTTGTAAATTACGCTACATAGTGACATAATGGGACAAAATTTTGAGTTGCAAAATATAGTAAAAAAAACAAAAAAAGAAATACATGTGAGTGAGATTAATCAGCTTTTTTTGGTTGGTTTTTTTCGGGTAATTTAAGGACACCTTTATCTAGTAATGGCTGCAACTCCTGTTTTGCCATTTTTACCACCTTTGAATCCGTGCTTTCCAAATATGCACAAATCACTTTCGCACTACAAATATATGAAAACATTCAAATATTATTTTATCGTTAAAAGTAAAACGTTTATAATTTATATAATATAAATGTGAATTTGTTGTTAGGTTAGGTTAATAGGTTTACCTGTGACCTTGGGCCCACATTTTACAATTGCCCTTGAAAGCTTTTTTCCATAAAGTGGAAGCGAATGAAGGGCAATCTATGATCAATTTTCTTATTGTTCTACTAGAATGGAAATTTTCTAGAAGATGTTCTTTTTCTTCTTCATCTTCTTCTGATTTAGGTATTGCTACAATGGATGCTATTGATTCATATAAAGATTCCAATTTTTCATCCAATTGTGGGTGGAGTATTCCATCTGCACCCCCTGTAACAACCTACACATCCAAAACCACATTTGTAAATTACCATTTTACCCTTTTAATATACTTAAATTATAAACTTATGAAATACTCAGAAAAAAAAAATTATAAATTTTGTTATACCTCGAACAAGACCTCTTTCCCATGATTCGATCGAAGTAATTCCTCAGCATTCTCGCAACATGCATCAATCAAACTCTATAAAAAAAATAAAAAATATATATATAAAAAATAAAAAAGATGAAATTACCCTCCCCTTTAAGCATGAATTGAACTGAGACTCATGGAACAAAAGCTGCCACTTTTGTCCCACCGACAAAGATGTTAATAGGACAAAAGCTGCCCCCTCAATTTATCAAATATGTAAAAAGACGAAAATACCCTCCACATAGAAAACAAACCTCAGCAAGTCCACTATCAACCAACAGCTCTCGCCTCCTTAGTAGTGGATCTTTTTTGCCACCTGTCACAGTTTTTACATTCTCCTCTTCATCTTCTTCAACTTCATCTTCATCTTCTTCAACTTCTGAAGATTTGACATTTTCTTCTGCTTCTGCTTCAGGTTCCAAA